AAAAAAAAAAACACATATGAGCAGACCGCAGACTCGAAGCACTGATAAGGTCAGAAGTGACAGCATGACCTCTGCAGAATCTACAGAGACAATTGAAGCACCCGGGCGACAAGATGTACAAGACTCTCAACCAATGGAGGTAGAGACATGAATGCGAACATATGTTGATACAGCAATTCAAATAGCAACAATATCATTAATGCAGAACATGCAGCAATTCATGAACCAGCAAGCTGAAATTCAGCGTGAATGGACTACATGGCTTATAGAAACAATCAATCAAAGATTCACAGAAATGGATTGAATTAACCACAGTGATAATGTTCAAAACATGCCTAGCACACAACCCACAGGCCAACAAGGCAATCAGCAAAGAACAACAGATACAAGAGTAGATACGGAAGTAACACAAGTAGCAACGGTAGCACACAGAGAATTAAAGCTAAAATATAGTGCACAATTCAAAGCCTCCAGAGCAATAACATCATGTGCTAAGCCGTCTCTGCAATTAGTAATCCAAACAATCGAAACACAACCACCAAGAAGAATTTCACTATCACAAGATGAGCTAACAATATTAGCACAACTAAATCCAGCCCAGTTTAATGTTGTAACACCAGTTAATAAACTTGCATTTGACTACCTAACACAAGATCACCCTAATTGGCCTTTTATTCAATACTTGAAAGATGGTTTAAAATATGGTTTTAGATTTAATTTTACAGGAAAACGATCAAGAATAGTACAGGAAAATCTAAACTCAGTAAAAAATGAGTCATCTGCACTAACAAATTATATAAACAGCGAGCTAGCTTTAGGAAGGATGTGTAGACCTTTTACTATGAATAACTTACCATGTACTTTATTCCAGATAAATCCATGCGGACTAGTTAAAAAAAAGAATACCAAACCAAAATCATATAGAGTAATATCTCATTTATCAGCCCCTTCAGGGAAAAGTATAAATGATGGTATCAATAATACTGATTTTATAACGAAATATGAGAATATAAATCATGCAATTAGTTGGATCATACAGTATGGTCGAGGTTGTTTATTGTCAAAAATTGACATCCAAGATGCATATCGTATCCTGCCAGTATACCCAGTAGATCAAGTGTTGCAAGGGTTACAGTATGATGGTAAAATATATTTTGACAAAGCTCTTTCCTTTGGTAACAGAGCTTCAGGAGGAATATTTTGCTGGTTTGCAGATGTTATTACATGGATTGCTATAAAATACGGAATAAAATCAGTAATTCATTATGTAGATGATTTTTTAATAATATCCAAAACAGGTGCATCACAAGAGTTAGAGCAATTTCTTCGTATATTGAAAGTACTAAACATCTCATATAAGCCCTCTAAGTTAAAAGGACCATGTACCTCTTTAATATTTTTAGAAATTCAAATCGATACTAATGTTTTTTCAGCATCTATTCCAGAATCCAAGAAATTAAAAATCATCGAAATGCTTACTGAATAGCATACTAAAAAATGGTGCTATAAAAAAGAGTTACAATCATTACCCAATGAAGGCAGATATAGACTGGTGGCTAGAAATGCTTCCTAAATAGTCTGAAGTCTACTTTATAGAGGATCGTGAATGGCTACAACCCGACATACAAAATCTGCATACTGATGCATCCAGCTTAAGTGGCGGTGCAACATATAGATCTTATTTTACAGCGTTTAATTGGTCTCAAGAAACTAACATAACTGAACATAGCATTCAGATGCGTGAGCTGTTAACATGCTTAATTGCAATGCTAACATTTACACCATTATGGCTTCAGAAACGGCTTATCATATGGACTGACAACCAAGCAAACACAGAAGCATATTATGCCAGTTTTTGTAAAAATCTAACTGTCAATAGCATAATAGCATCTATGTACAGGGCCCAAGTTCGTGGAAACTATTCTATTAAACTAGAGTACATTGCTGGTAAAGAAAACAAAGATGCAGACCTACTATCACGAGGAGGCTTTAGGCAATACATAATACAAAATCCTTGGGCAAGATATCTACACCCTATAATACCTACTGAATATGCTAACCTGATAACCACAATTCCATCACTTAACTTTTAGGTCCAAGCAACAACATGACTACAGAAGACAATAATCGGACAGATGAAATTCAGACACAGATAATCAGCAGCTATGAGAACGAATTACCACTTAATGAACAGGTGGCAACAATACTGGGCATAAAACCACCAATACACAAAACATATGCTGCAACTATTAAACGCTATGAGAGACTGGCTACGGAAAATGAGTGGATGAATGAAAATGGAACAATCTGGCCCATTTCAAAGGAAAATCTCACCAAATATATAACATACTTACATCTGAAAGTTATACCCCAAACTATCATTTCATATCTATCTGCTCTTAATTATTATCACATCATGCATCATCTAAACTGGTACAGGACACGCAATAACCCCTTAATAAGACAACTTTTGAAGACAATTGAAAACAACCACATATTCAAACCAACACAACAGAAAGAACACATCACACACGACCAACTATTGCTCATAAAATCAAAGTTAAATATGGAAGACCCAGATGGTCTTCTCTTTTGGTCTGTTGCATTAGTAGCATTCTATGGCTTGACCCGCCTGGGAGAGCTATTATCCAGGTCACAGAATGAATCTGACAAGATACCCACAATACAGGCACTGAGGTTTGACAAATGCGGCACAGACACATTTGCAACAATACAGCTACCTAGGACAAAAAACCACAAGGTAGTGGAACGACCTATCTTAATTATCAACCCAACAAAGGACGAATTATGCCCAGTCAATACACTGAAAGCATACACAGTCCTCAGAACTAACTCAATATATGCCCCTAGAGCAAAGGCATTATTCGTAAGAAGTGAGGGAGGCTAGCAACAAAAAACTGGTTTATAAACATTTTAAAATCGCTTTTGCCCGGTTCCAACGTAGCAGGACACAGTTTCCGGGTGGGAGGTGCCACAGAACTAGTACTGCAGGGGTACAGCTACCTTTGATCTAGAGAATAGGCAGATGGTCATCAGAGGCATTTTACAAATACATCCGAACGCACCCGGCAACAGTGGCATCGATCCTAACAAAGCCATATTCAAACTAAGATCAGAAAATAAACTTTGAAGCCCGATCGTTATATATATCGAGTTATGTCAAATAATGGCAATAATGATAAATTACAACGATAGCAAGAATGTATAGAATAGGCGGGAAATAAATAAATATATAAAATAAAATGGAACGATAAAAATAAATAAGGGAGACCAATGATAACTATAAATGGGCCATATCGTAACCACAAATCGGCAGGGTAAATCTGTGAATAAAGTGATCAAGTACAAGAGACACGTGTCTATTCCAAATGCAAGCCACGTACGGCCGTATATATGAAATATATATATATAAATAAAATAAAAAAAAAAATAAATAAATAAAAAAAGAGAAAGAGAAAAACCAGTGCTATAACAGCACTCAACGAGCATAGTATTCAGCAAATGGCAGAATTCTCGTTCATTCTTTGGCGTGCAGAATCCTGCCGTTTGTGATATTTTCAAAAAACTTCATATCAAAGTCAGCCTGTGTTATGCAGTGTGGAAAACCACCGACTGTTGCTACACATCTTGAATTCAGCTGAGGACGGTGATACCCGGCACAATT